CCTGAAAAGGGTATCTGGGTGGTGCAGCCTATTTTGCATGCCAGATGGAAAGAGGACAGTGCTGTCAATAATGGGGGGAAGTGAGGTGGGGACGGGAGACAGAGCTATGCTGTCTCCAGGTCACCAACTTGCTACCACTGAAACCCAGTTCATTCTGAAGCCCCCACTGCACAGACCCACCCACATTTGCCCAGGCCAGGCTCCTCTTGGCTCTTCTCTGACCTGTTGCTCACCCGATGTCCCAGGGTGAAGTGTCTGTAGTGGTTGCTGGCAGCAAAGGCCATCTGGGGTACCCAGCCCAGAGGTCAGGATAGTAATGGGGTCCTAATCCAAGTGTGGTTGCAGGAATAATGGATTTGGAGTGAGGAGCATGGAAACCAAAGACTTCAGAGATCAAAGGACTTAGAGGCAAGTTTGTCCAGTAAGCCACAAAAGGTGGTTCTGAAGTGTGAGGTCTGGGGTATCATGAAACCCAGGTTAAGCCCTACTCAGCTGTGATGAGCTGTGGGTTCTTCATTCTCAGGTTCCTCAAGAGTATAATGGGATCGTAGTGGTCCCACCCCACAGAGTTGTGATGATGGCATGCAGTCATGCTTCCATCCATCTCGGTGGTTTGTTCCTGTGACCCTGGGCATCCCGCCCAGCTTCATGATACACCTGGGATCTAGTTTCCAGACGAAAGTGCAGAACGTTGGCTGTCTCCACATTGCAACTTCTCAACAAGCCATCTGTCAGCACAGTAGTGCCTGAAAGTCAGTGCCAATTTTGTCATTGCTGTCCCTCTATGCAGTAAAGGATGGGATTCAAGTTTTAATACTAGTCTCCCCTCTACACAGAACTGAAGTAAATGGTGTTCATTGTGAATGTTAAAAGAAGCCGGGTGGTGGAGGGATGGGAGGACAGCTGTAAACGCTTTCCCCAAGTTGATCCAAGTATAAAAACAAGCTTATCTGGGAGCCACCCCCTCTTTATAGCTGAGACCAAAGAGGCCCAGAGAGGTTAGGAGAGTGTCCTAAGATTGCACAGAGTGTCAGAGAGACCGTTCACGTGCACAGCTGGTGGGGGGTGCTATGACCACTTTATCTTAGTTTGAGCTGCCCCAAGAGGAGAGCCAGAGATCAATATCTAGGTGGGAGTCACTGACCTGGGAGGTGGTCCCAGGGAGCATGATGAGGGAGGGGGAAGTGAGAAAGAGAAACGAAGAAAACCAGTCGAGGTACCTTTAGGAGCGGGTCACTGTTGCGGGACATTGGCACCCAGTCCTTCTGCAGACCCTCTGGGAGATCGTGTAGCACACGCTTCAGAATTGTCCCTCCAAGGGCCTGAGGACGTCACTCTTGCTCCTCTCTTGCTCCTGGGCTGGGGGTGTTCCAGGATTAAGGATCCAGCCTGTGTCCTGTCTGCTTGCTCCCTGACACAAGAAGGCCCAGGGGAAGAGGTGCAGGAGCTGTCTACAGAGGACCTCCTGCTGGACCAGAGCTCCCACTGCCTCACACTGTGGCCAACACAGTCCCTTCTCAGGCCCCCTGGGGGCTGGGAGCTGTCCTCCTTTCCCCCGTGTGCACGCTGTGTCGTTGTGACATGTTGGGGGCCCTGGTGGGATCCAGCTTGGTAGGAACATGTTCTTCCCACAATAAGGCACATTGTGCACAGCCTCCAGGAGGCTGGAGGACCACCTTCAAGACCCCAGATGGGCACATAGTGCTGTTAATGAACAACATAAGCTGGTCTGACTCTAGGCAGCCTGGGCTCCAACAAGCAGGGGGTGTTTATTCTTGAGTGAGTACACCTCACATTTTCGCTTACCTAGGGCTCCACAATAAGGGTCTGAGAAGCAGTGGAGGATGGGGAGTGTGTGAGGAAGCTTGTTTCCTTGTGCCAGTTTCTCTGGACCTTGGAAGCGCCCCAAGGACCAGACGATCAGACCCAGCTCCAGAGACCTGATTTTGAAGGTTATTAGATGGAAGGACCTGAAGGCAAACCACGTGGGTTTCTACTTAGGATAAACTTTCAGAGGTTGAAAGCACCTTTCAGTAACTTGTTTTGAACGTGTAGCACATCCATCACGTCATTAGAAATAGAAATAGATTGTATTCGTCGGCAAGTCTGCCCCATGCCCCATCTATCTCTTCCCCCTTCTCTGTTCTACGATCACTGGTTCTTGGGCGTCCTCTCTCAGTGCCTTTATGTACATGCAGATACTTCTTATTTTCTTTCTGTATAATCCAAAGAGAGCATAGGATAGGCCCTGGAGTCACCTCTTTTTGTTTTTGTTTTTGTTTTTTTCACCTAAGCATCTCCTCTGGAGATCATTTCATCTCAAGCACCTGGTGAGCATACTCATTTTTTCCCTTTTACAGCTGTGTGGTGGCTCCTCACATGCATGCGCCATAAGCTAGTTAACCATCCCCCATGGGTGGACATTTGGGTCGTTTCAAATCTTGCTCTTACAAAAGATGCTACAAAGAATAACCTCACACTTACATCGGCTTGCACGTGTGCAAGTGTAGCTTTAAGAGAAATTCCCAGAAGTGAAGTTATCAGGCCAAAAAGTATACCTGTTTCTAATTTTGATATATATTGCCAAATTGTGCTCCTTAGAGGTTATACCAATTTATGCTCCCACCAGAAATTTGCGAGAATCCCCATTCAGGGAGGGTCCAGGTTCCATAGACAAGTGGGGCAGACAACTGTGAGATGAAAATAACACTCCAGGACAAGTGTGAATGGAAAGGATGGAGGAGCTGAGCTTAGACCCTGAGACCCTGAGGAAACGGAGAAAGAAGGACGGAGTGGAGGCCTGAGACTGTAGCAGAGGAAGGTGAGTCCATCTTACCTTGCAGATCAAATGGGAACTGTCGGAGGCATATGTTAGCACAGGGTTTTCCAGTTGGAATGACCTGTTGAGCGGGGAGCCTTTTTAGATTTTGTCTGGAACCAGGAATCCCAGGCTGAGGGAGTGGAAGAGGGGATGGGAGGGAGAGTCTGAGCTGCAGCTGCAGGACTGAGAAGGGGGAGGATGGAAGGGTGTGGCCAGGACCAGGAGGGCAGGAAGTGTCCAGGAAGACATGTCTGCATCCCCAAGGCCTCACACACTTCTTGGGGTATGGGAGGCACTTGGGAAATGTCAGAAGCACAAGCCCAGCAAAGAAGCCAAGACACCATGAAATTCCTCCCCAGAAACCTGAGAGGTCCACCTGTCTGTCCCAGGATCAGATATGACTGGGACAGAATGTCGGTGGGAGCAGGAGCGACCCATCTGTGCTCTGAAGCATGGCCTCAGTCAAATCAGATCCACTCTCTTGTCTTATGCTAGCTGTTTCCTTTTAAAAAATCGTCTCGAATTCCTCACTCGGTCAATATTTATTGTGCGTCTGCTACGTGCCAGGCCCTGCTCTGTCCTGCAGTCCCAACAGTTAAAGGATCACAGTCCCTGTCCTGGAGGATCTGAAACAAGTGCTCCCATGAATGCATGATTACCGATGTGCCAAGTGCCGTGAAGGAAAGGAGGGCCAGGCTCTGTTGGGGGAGGGGGGGCGCTGGGGAGGCCTCAAAAGGGGGTGACATTTAAGCTGAGATCTGCAGGACGCTAGAAAAAGGGAAAGCAACCCAAAGGGAAGACTGTGTGCAAAGGTCTGGAGGTGGAGAAGTTTGGGTATTTGAGGAGGTGGAAGAAGGCCAGTGTGGTGGGAGCTCAGAGTAAGAGGGATCAAGGTGAGGCAGGGAAGTTAAGTAGGATCCAGTGCTGGGCAGCCACATCAAAGATTGATTATCTTATTCCAAGTGCCCTGGGAAGGCATTAATTAAAGGTTTTAAACAAGGGAGGGATGTGATCAAATTTATGTTTCAAAAAGATTCTACAACTGGGGAAAATGATCCAGAGAGGTCATGAGTGAAAACAGGATACGTGTGGGATGGGGTGGTGGAGCTCACCCCACCCCTTCTAGAACTGAAATTCTTATATTGTATGAGTGATCAATGACAAATTGTGGGATGATCTAACAGGGTTTCCAAAGCCATCTTGTTCTGGGCACCCCAAAGTCTCTCCCTCTTAGCAGAGGGGCCCAGCTGTAGCCGTCAGGCCCGTGTCTCCAGAGGGCAGTCTGGGGTCCAGCTGTCGGCAGAGGCAGGAGCTATGGGAAGTGTCCCACTGAGGGTGTCGAGGAGCACAGGACTGTGATGGGTTTACTAGCAAGTGACGGACTGGGATCCAGCCAAGCTGAATTAGAGCAAAACAGATCACTCTGCAGAAGGAATTCTCAGAGCTTTGCTTGGAAAGGTGCCTTGTGAGCCTTGAGGAAGGGCCTAGAATGCAGCGTGCTCCATGCTTATTTTGAAACTCTATTTTCCATGGAACAGTTTTCTACCAAACTCACTCTGAGAAACTCTGCTGTAAATAGTTCTTATTTGCTAATGGGCACGCTCAGTTCCTTCCTCACATCTCACAATGCTCAGGAACTGGAAAACCATCCTGTTTAATTACTGATGGGTAGACGGGTCGGTTCAGTGTCTTGTATCCAGACTGTTGAGGGGTCTCAGGTGTTAGTCTGCATCAACCAGGTAACCAGAGAGCAGCCAGGTAGATTTTGGGGTGTAAGCTTCTGTCACCACTCTAGCCCATGTCTTCCAGAAAATTCCGCCTGCCTGGCCTACTTAGAAATGTCACTATCAGTGGTCATGTGCCCTGATCTCTTTCCTTTTCTCATTATCGCTAATCAACTTTGGGAGAAATGAGGAGTTGTCTCCCTCAACCAAGCACTTAGGTCCTCTACTCTATCAGGAGACAACGGGCCTGGCATTTCTGGTCCCCACATCTTCATATGATGCTCACAGTCGGACATGCTGATGCCCATTTGTCTTGCTGGCTCTATTATGAAGTGTGTGCTGTCACTGGCTCTGTTTGGTGCTTTCCAAGTGGTCATTTCCGTCCCCACATCTTGGTATTCTGACCCCTGTGATGTGAAGGAGAAATATGCACAAACAGAAGCAACTCCACAAAACATGTTTCAGAAGATTGTGCTTTTATTCTACGTTATTGGTATGAGAGGGAACAGGGCCAAGATCCCACCTCCATGATCCCACAGGAAGAACAATCAGGAGAATCATGCACATCTAGAAGGGGATAACTGAGGCCAGATCTTCCAGTAAAGTGGCAGGAAAGACTCAGGCTTAGGCCACAGGAGCCAGGCCGATCTGGTTGTTGGCTCTGTCGAAGACGGTAAAGTACTGGCGGATGAAGACGTCACCCAGGATCCAGAGCTCTCCGCTACTGGTGTCGAGGTCCATGCCCTCGAAGCCACTGATGCAGCTTCCATCCTCCTGGAGAAAAGGAGGATAAAAACAGAGATGGGACACAGACTTAGCAGTGAGAGATGCTGGGGGATCAGCATCAAGGGCCATTGTCCACTGCAAGGCACGTGCAAGGAGGAGCTTCCTGCCTCGTGTGTGGGGACTTGGGTCTTCTTAGCCTGGGGTCTGCCTGTATGAGCTGTTCACTGCACTTTGTTCCAGGGACCACTAGACATTGTCCAGTGTGTCTGGCAGATGCACAAACCTCGGCATCCGCATTGGAGTGAAAGGGTTTGGGGAAACTCAGCTCCTGGGGGGATTTTGGAAGCCCCAGTAACACAGCCTTTGCTGATTATTTTGACCCCTTCCAGTGGTGAGCTGTCAGTTCTTTTCATTCACTGGGTCACTGGCCCACAACCTTGGCTGCACATTAGAATCACCTTCGGAGCTTTGCACCCCACCCCACCAGCCACATTGGTTAGGTCTGACCCTCTACTAAATAATCAGCATCACTCAGGGTGTGGCTGGGCATCAGTACTTCTTGCTGAATTGACATTGACCCACTGGGCAAAATGAGTTTTCCATCTGAGTTATTATAGAAGGAAGTAGTTGGCCTTTGGCTCATTTGACTAAAGAGTTTTCACGTGGTAGAGACAGTGGGGAGTCATACGCCCTGACCCATGGGAGTTAGGATCACCATTTGCCCAACCTTTTGTAGCACTGATGTGGTCAATATCACGTGACTACTCTACACTCTGAGCGTGGGGAAAGCTGTAGAGCAGACGAGGAAACTGAGGCTGAAGGAGGTTGTAACTGGCTCGGAATCAATGGGCTAGTAATTGAGACCCAGAGCGTGGACTCAGGGTCCAACTAGAAGTCCTCTTTTCATGCCATCAGTGTTTGCCTCCCTTTTCCCCCTTGGATACTGCGTCCCCATTATCATGCATGCATTTGTTTTGAATGTATTCTTTTTCTCCAATGGCTGTCCAGAGCAGGTGTCAGTTTCAGAATGAGAAAGTGCACCTTCCTTAGTGCCAAGTGGGACTGTGTGGCCACATTCTATGGGGGGAAACCTAGGGGCAGGCCCAGAGGCCACTTACCTCTAGGATGTAGGCACTGGGACTCAGAGGAAACTCAATGCCATTGATGGTGAAGACGATGTCAGGCAGGCTGTCGATGGATGAGCAGCTGATCGCCCCCTGGAAAGAGTGAGGGTTGGAAGGGATTGCCTTCCTTCTGCATGGCAGACCCGCCACTTCAGTCTACAATGGGGCAGTCAAGGCTGGACTTACCTCACCAGAGGAGTCCTCACTGGCTCCAATGTAGCTCTGGATATTGTCAATGGCAGAGGGTGGGCCAGCCAGCAGAGAGGTGCCAGTGTCAACAATGGCCTGGCAGCCCCCACTGCAAGCGATGGACTCTCCATTCATGGTGATGCTGAAAGCGAGATGCGAGTAAGGGTCTTTCAGCTGAGCCCACTGCAGGGACATCTCTGCAAGGAGGAACCGAGTCACCCCAGAGAGTCCCTCCTCCCTATCCGTTGATCAATAGATAAATTTTAGCTTCTCTTCTTCAAGCCCTCATTCATTCATGCATTCTTTTACTCAACAAAACTTTACTGACTGACTACTGTGTGCTAGGCCTGGGAGACAAAATTCCAAACGAGGCAGCTGCACAGTATTTGGCTGCTGGGAGCTCACAGTCTAGCTGGAATGATAAGTTATGACCGAGGAAGAGCTGTATGAACAGGGCATAGGACATGGGAAAAGAAACAATCCATGGTGGGGGTTATGGTGGGGGGGAGCAACCAGAGAGGGCTTCCCGGTGAAGCAGACAGCCTGAGGTTGCCAAGGAGGTAAAGAGCTGGAGGAAGACATCCCAGGCAGAGGGGAAGGCATGAAGGAGGGATGGAGATGAGAGGAGCAAGGGCAGGAGTGGGAGGAACTGATGAGGTTTTAGCATCACTGGCGCAGACGTGAGGGGACCTAGTGTCTCGGTTTGCTAAGGACACTCCTAGTTTTAGATCTGAAAGCCTTGAGTCCTGGGAAATGGCTAACACCTGGGCAAATCTGGAGTCACCCTAGCAGACCAGCGGGGGAGGAACAGCTGGGAATGAGGCTGCTTGATGGAGGGGCGGGCCCAGAAGGGGAAGGGGAAAAGAATGGGATGAAACAACTTCTCAGGCATCTTGTCCTGTCCATAGACAGAAAGTGAATTTTTCCTGCAGTGGGGGGCATGTGCCAGTTCATAGGTCCCCTAAATGCCAAATCATGTGGACAGGTGGGTCCTCCAGCTCTCCCCAGGGATGCTCATGTCCTGTCTCTGTGAGCAGAAGGAAAGTGGCTAGCTCATCCTTGCAGAGCATCTGGAGTCCCAGACAGCTCTGCTTCTCCAGTGAGATGATTTTCTCGGGGTGTCTCTGGATTGGCTAACTCCCACCTTTTCCTCCCAGAGCACATTTTCCTATGCTGGCTGTTCCAGGGAGATTCTGGAAAGCTCGGTTAACTGTGAGTCCATAAAGAAATGAGATCTGAGCTCTATCAGGATAGTGCTCATCCGCGGCGATGTGATCTCACCTGTCCACAGTGATCTGCCAGTAAGCCTCTTCAGAAACAGGCACCCAGTGCAGGCTTCCAGAATAGTAAGAGGAATCGATGCCACCGAACATCACCACGCTGCCACTCTCGTCATCGCTGTTGAAAGTGGGGGCAAAAGACAGGAATTCGTTCTTTCAACTGAACATCCGCTGTGTTCATCCTAAGAGCTACCCTTGATTGGCTCTTGCTAGTGCCAGGAGCCGCGCTCGTGTGTGATAGACAGGGTTTCTCTCAATCCTCACACCAAGGCCCATATAGTGGTCACATTAATTATTATTTTCACTTTACAGGGAGGAGTCTCAGGCTCAGAGAAGTGGGATGACTTGCCCAAGGACCCGCAGCCAGGGAGTGGCAGAACCAAGATGTGAACCTAGGTCCTTATGGTTCTGGAGTTGTGGTTTGCACCTCATCCTCACTCTCGTTGCCCTGGGACCTGAGGAGAAGTGAACGCTTGACAATGTTTGGTCTTAAGGATTTGATAGTATAGACCCCTGGTTCTCAGCCAGGGACACTTTTGCCCCCAGGGGACATTTGCCAAGGTCTGGGGACATTTTTGGTTGTCATGATTAGGTGGGTGTAGGAAGTGCCACTGGTGTCTAGTACATAGAGGCCATGCAGCCTGCTCAACATCCTACAATGCGCAGGACAACTCCCAACAGCAAGGCATTGTGTGTCCAAAATGTCCATAGCACTGAGACCGAGAAACCCTGATCTAGTTGAGGAGGTAAGATGGCCCCATGGAATCTCTAAGTCCCATAAAGGCAGAGGATGTCTAGGAGCCGACTTGAATATTAAGGGACCAACAGGACAATAAGGCCCTCCTGTTGTAAATTACTTCCGTTGTTTGTTTCCTCCTTGTTACCAGAGTATTCATTTTCTGAATCTCTGCAGTTTCAGGTTAGACAGGAAAGCAAATGTTTATGACGATAAGAAATTAATTGCCAAAGAACTGGCTACAGAATGATAGTCCCCACTCACCTCACCCCACATCAACTTTCCTGTAAACATCTGACGGTAAGTACAACGTGACACAATGAGTTTATAGTAGAAGAATGAACAACTAAAGAAATGGATCAACAATGACAATGGCTTCAAAAGAGAGGGATGAGAGCATCAGAGGAAAGCTGAGAGTCTCAGGAAACTGACGACACCCTCAGATATTCCTGCATAAACCTCGACTCAACCAAAACCAACACTTGGTTTATTCTTTATTCATTTTTAGGATTAACTCATAGTCACAACTGGAACCTAGATTTTTTTAACGAATGACATAAACTTGCTTTCTTTGTTTGGATGTTTCATTGTTGAAGATATAAGTCACCATCAAATATTCCTTTCATTGCTATGGAATTTTGGCCCCTATTTTTAGTGGACTCTTTTTAAATTGTGGTCTTTTCGGGCCAACGATGAGGGGACTGGGGCAGGAGGGAAAATGGCTGACATTTGACTTGTGTAAGTCAGGATGACAAAGACTCAGCTGGTAAATGAGATGAATGAAGACAGTTCATCAGAGAGAGATTTGGCCCCATTGTCTCCAAAGCTACACCTCTCAAGCCTTAGACACTGACCTTTCAAATCTCTTGCTGGCTGAACCCTCTCTCTCCACCCAGCTCTGGACAGCCCTCTGCTGGGCCAGGTGACCATGACCTCCCTGCCTGACTTACGAGCTCAGGTAGACAGAGAAGAGGTCTTGGGAAACCAGACCCTGGTCCCATATGTTGTCAAAGACGGGAGTGGCCCCAGAGGCAGAGATGCTGGGGTAGGCGAGACCCAGGATGCCGTCGAAGGGAGCATAGTACAGGAAGGAGCTTGGCTCTGACTCGCTCAGGCCGAAGATCTGGTTGGTGTCCTCGATGCCTCCGACCTGAGTGGGGGTAACAAAGATGTTGACAACCAGCTTGTGTTGACTGAGCACTGCGGGGCACCAGCCCCAGGCCCAGAGCATCCCTGGTTCATCTCATGTTGGACTTGGCTTCTGGGGCCTCAGGCTGGAAGGAGGGGAGAGGGAATCTCTGGGAATGTTTGTTATTCTGCTGGAAGTGACCATTGCTGCTGATCTCCAGACGGCCACTGTCTGCGCCTTGGTGTGGGAATTTTCTGCAGAACGGATGGGCCCTGTGTGTTCCTGTGTCTGATGACTGGATGCAAAGCAGACCCAAGGCAAATCAGAGCCCTTGACCCCTGCCACATCCTGGAAGGGGGAGATGCTTTTGAAGCCTTTGTGAGTAGAGGAGGAGGCTGCAGGTAGTGGGAGGAGAGAGAGGAGGAGGTGATAAAAGGTAATGGAGCCTTTTCCTATCTTCTCTCCCCAAATCCATAGCACTCAGCTTGGGTGGGGCTGAGGTTGGCTGATGGCTCCAGGCATCCCACCCTCTTACCCACTACTGCCCCACCTAGAAATGTCTGTGACATCTCTGCTACTTCCTCATCCCCCTCCACTAATCAAGTTACTTTGGAGTCACTGAGACCCATATTGCTGAATGAGCTGATTCCGGGGTTGCACTGTGGCCTCCAGGGTCCCCAGAAGCTGGCCCTAGGACTGGGCAGGATGAGGCAGTGAGGCAGCAGGTTCTCACCCTGACAGTGTCGTATCCAAGGACGCCTGTCATGCTGCCGGTGCCATAGGTGATGGAGACCGACTCACTGGTGGCCTCGTAGGTGGAGGAATCCTCAGGGTTGAAGCGGTTGTGGTCGGCTGGGAGGACAAGAAGTGACATTATCAACCTCAGAATCCAAGTGAGAATCATGGTTAGGGATGACTTTCTGGAGTGGGCTGCCTTGGTTCTGGGTGAGGCTTTGTAGGACGAAGGATCCCATTCTCCACACGATGGAGCCCAAGCATCCCCAGGTTCCATTCCTGCCTGGTTGGACTAAGTGCGACCATCTCCCAAATGGAAGTCCCCAGCCAACCCCACAGTCTTCCCAAGGACCCCCAGGCAAACACTGAGTAGAGCAGGCCCACAGCTACCCATGGCCGTGAGCCCCTTCACAGCGCACTGTGAACAGCCCATGACACAGCTACACTGTCACGGTCACAGCCCTACAATGTCACAGTTCAGGTTATGAAGGGGAGGATTCCAGGGGCTCCTCTGAATTAAAAGTCAGGTGAAAATTCTGGAAGAGGAAGGAACTTGTAACGCTGTCCATGACTCCCAATGACAAATACTCTTTCGTTAGTAAATAAATGATATTTTTAAAAGTGAGTTCATGACTCAGCTCAGTCATGCCTTTAAGTCACTTATCCTAACTGCCCTCTTGCTTTGGGCCCCCCTTAGTCCCCTGGGCTGTGCTTGTTCAGGAGAGCTGCTCTCTGCCATTGGACTGAACCCCTCGGGGGCAGGGACCATGTGTGAGTCACCCTCTGTCCCAGGGCTCTTATGCCCAGTGCTAGGCACATGGGTGCTCGGGAAATGCCTGTTGAGAGAATCCCAGAGGGACTCCAGCAGGCTTGAAATTGGACCTATTTGAAGCCCCCGAGTGTTCAGGGCTCCCAGGTCAGTGGACACTGGGGGCCCCAGGCAGGCCCAGGCACTCACAGCAGGCGAGACTGGAGCAGTAGACCGAGGGCACCCACAGGTTTGAGGAGCCGGTATCAAAGATGACGGTGAACTCCTGAGCGGGAGTTCCGATGCTGATGGTGCCGAAGTACTCCTCCTGTGGGGCGGGGACAGCACAGGTCACTCCCCATCCTGAGACCCCCCAGGGAGCAGGGCCTCCTGGGGCATCTCCTCAGCTCCCTACCCTCACTGCTCTCCTTGCCTTTCTCTCCATGTTCAATGCAGCCATCCTTCAAGGTCCAGCCTGTCCTCCCCTCCTCCTTGATCTCTTCCCTGATTCCATCCCTGTTTCCCTCTGACTGTCTCTTCTAAGCACCATCAAGTAAGAATCTGCTGTCTCCTCTTCAGCTCTCCTCCTGAATGTCTTAGTCGTGCCACCCTAGAGAACACTCCATCTCAGAGGACAGTGGGTAACCTGATAGCAGCCAGCAGAATAAATGCTCAATGGTGCATTCAGTAAATGGTCGATCAGGAGATAAAGAAGTCATCTAAAGATGGAAACCCCTGGAGATGTCTTGTTCCTAAATCAAGGTGTGTAGTGCGTGTTTTGAGGAAGGGCATGGTCAGGATTTTTATTCTTAGTGGCAGCCCTGTCTCCCTTGCCAGCAGTTCTAGCCACACTGGTCTGGCTCTTCTTTGATGATGACAAGCTCATTCCCATCCCAGGGACACGCACTTGCTATTCCTGTGCTAAGAAAATGTTTCTTCTGGACCTATCCTTGGTCTGCTCCTTCTCCTCAATCATTCAGAGCTCTAGTCAAACATCCCCTCCACCAAGAGGCCCTCCCTGACCACTTCATCTAGATTTGCCCTTCCCTCATTATTCTTCTTCTTGTTACTCTAATTAATTTATTTTTCTTTTCATCACTTGCCATTACGTGGAATTATTTTGTGTATTTATTTAATTTGTCTCCTATTTGCTTTCTCTAGTATAACAAAAGCTCCAGGAACTTTGTTTCTTCATCACTGTTTCCTCAGCTCTGTGCACAGAGCCTCTGACACATAGTAGATGCTTCAGAAATATTTATTAAGTGAATAAATGGACTGACTTTACCAAGCTCTTACCAAGAGCCAGGCCCTGTCCTAAATCTCCAAGAAAACGCTATTGTGTTAATTACTTGCAACAACTCTCTAGTGTTAGATATTTGTGGTTCTGTTTGACAGAGGAGGAAACTGAGGCTTGATCAGAGAATTTAAAAGACTTGCCCAAGGTCACGTGGCTCGGAACCATTTAGCTCAGACTTGCACCAGGTCAGGCAGATTTCACAGGCTGAGGTCATAACCACAGGCAACATTCCTTCCTATCGTTGGCCCTGTGCCCTCACACAGGGGACACACAATATATACAGAAGGGCAGGCCTTTGCCTTTGGCTTCTAAATAGCACAGTGAGAGATCACCCTGAAACTCCACACTGATCATTTCAACCCCCCTGGTTAAGATGATTGAGTGGCCATGAGGACACATGCCCTCATCAGCCACTCTGGTCTGGCTCTAGACACCAACCCCACAATCCTCACTCTGCGCCTCCCTCCGTCTCTGTTCTCCCTGAACACTAGCTCCTTTCCTCAAATGCACTCTGCTCCCTGCTGTCCCAGGGTCCGGCGCAAGCCATCCCGCTATCGGGGACCATCTCTTATACTCCCCGACCTCCACTTCTCCTTCATTTCCCAAGGGAGGTGTCACTGCCTGCCACCTGCCACCCTCTCACAGTGTCACCTTCACTGTGTAGCCCTTGGTCTGTCTGTACTTTTCATTGTTGGTGAGGCTCAGTGATGATGGTCTCTCCCTACTAGACTGTGAGCCCCCCGAGGGCACAGGCTGTGCCTGGTTTTCTATCCTGCTGCTTCCCGCAGGCCCAGTACTGTGTCTGGCACATAAGGAGGTGTTCTGCATCTGTAAACACTGAATGAATGAATGAACAAAAGAATGAGAGCAACATCTCTGATGTGACTTTTCCTGTGCCTCTGAGATCCAAGGAGCAGACACCTGGGTCACTGCCTCAGGGCTTAGAGCACTGCTCCACCTTCCAAGACCCCTGGGAACCCCTCTTTCCTCCAGGCCAAGTCCTCAGTGCCAGGCCCCACCGCCCTGCATGGCCCTGCACTCACATCCATGTAGTTCTCCAGGCCCTCTGTGGCTGCCAAGGTGGCGGCCTCCCTGGGGAAGTACTTGCTGGCTGGGTTGCGGGGATGCTGCTTGAGGAAGTCCGCCAGCAGGCCATTCTCGCGCAGGTTCTGCCTCAAGGACTTCTTTTTGACAAGCGGAACCCTGTGGCAGAGCGTTTGCAAATGGGATGGTTTGGAGGAGGAAGTGTAATTGGGGAAGGAGTCCACTCATGGGGTGCTGTGGAAGGCAGGGAAGGTCAAGGAGGCTGGTCCAAGAGAGGGAGAAGGAAGGAAGTCAAGAGAGGAGATGCTCCCATTTTTCTACACAACTGAAAAGAAGTTCAATGGTTGCCCAAAGTCGCCTGGCCCAGTGATGGAGCTGGGAACCAAATCCAGGCTGGACTTGAGGGCCAGGGCTGTTAACCACGTCTGCAGGGCTTCTTCTCCAGAAGGACAGAGTGAGACAAGAAAAGAGACTCAACACAGTGGAAGAGAGTGAGGAGTTGTATGAAGGAAGAAAAGAAGAAGAAAACTTCTGGAGGAGAGGAAGACAGGGTGACAGGCAGTGAAGGGAAGCAGCCCCTTGGAAGCTGTTCTTCGTGCCACGTGTCCCCCAGACTCACTTGTAGATAAGGCACTCAGAGAGCGCCACCAAGCTGAGCAGCAGCAGCCACTTCATGGTTCTTCCTGGGTCCCAAGTCTCCAGAGAAGGGAAGAAGGGTGGAAGGCGTACAGCAGAGGCAGGAGCTGCTCCTTATATACAGCGCAAGTCCTGGGGAACCTGCCTTATCAGCCTCCAAACGTCACCCATTATCCTAGCCCCAAACACAAAGCTTCCTGATACGATTGTCCCTGCCCCTGTGCCATGTTCTGAGAAGTTTCCAGTTAGGCAGCTTTCCACTGTAACCACATCCATGATTAGTATGCACCTGCATAGAATGAGCCATGGAAGGGTGGCTTATTTCTCAAATAACACAAAGGGCCTGCATGGAAACTTGACAAGCTGAATATTTTGACAAAGTTGATCTAATGTGCACTTAAGATTGAACAGATGTCAGTGGAGCTCAGTGTACCCCAATCTGTCAATGGGACAGATGCTGTGGTTATTGGAGAGCAGCTCCCCACTTAGTGACAGGTCATGTTCCTGAAGCTGCTAACCCATAGCAAGTTTGTAGGTCAGTGGTTAGGGATCAGGACACATTTCCCCAAAGAAATATCATTTTGTGGGTTGTTTGGTGTCTAACTAGCTTATAGGCCTTATTATGCTCTTGCATAACATTGTGCTTATGGCAATGGAGCTGAGTCCTGGGACAGTGCTGCATACACAGTACAGAGGAAGAGAAGGGAGTGAAGCAAGTGGAAGAATGCTGCCTTCCTTTCCTGGAGGAAGCACACTTGAAAATGGCCAGGTTTGTCCTTGGAATCTGTGTCCCTCACTTTATGCACCCCTTCTTCTTTCTACTGCTCCTCTCCCACACTCTCAGGTTGCTGGAAGCCTCCACCTTTGAGACCCCACCTGGGTCTGACTCTCCCAGGATCCCCATGCTTAAAACTTGACTGAATCAGCTGCAATGGAGCACAGCAATCTGGGCAAATTCATACTAGTGGGTGAATGACTTAGAAAGGTTGTCTTATTAAAAGGAAATGCTTACCAACCCATAGATTCTCTACTTTGGGGCATTTATTCATTGGATGCAGTGGAGTGGAAGCTTATTGAGAATTGTGGAGGAGGGGAATACATGGGAGGGATGTCACCAGGAGGCAGCCAGCTGTATCCGCAGATCTTGTTCTGATTGCAGATTCTCTGGGCCATCCCAGGTTTTTCCTGCATCAGGAAACACAGATTGTATAAAAATTCCAAATTTCCCCGAGTGCTCTGGGTGAGCATGGCAGGGCGAGTTGTGCCACATCGTTTGTGTGTTTCTCTTCCTTGCAGTTACATGACACAGCGTAGATTTATTGACCTCTGACTGAGCTCATTCTGGTAAGTAATATTATTATCCCCATTTTATGCATGAGGAAACTGAGGCACAGAGTTGTTATGACACTTGCTTGAGGTGACACAGGTAAGAAGAGACTGAGCAGGGGCTCAAGTCCAGGTCTCTGTGACTACCTGTGCCTTCTCCCTTACTCGACTGCCTGGGGTTTACTGGGGGCCGTGGAGAATCTTATGAAGAGCCCTGGCTCCCGAATCTGGGTTTGAATCCCAGGCCTGTCTCTGAACAGTTGTAAGACCCGGGACTGCTGATCCAGCCTGTGCGAGACTCAGTTGCCTCATGCATGAAATGGAGATAAAAGTACCACTAATTTCATAGGATTGTATGAGGATTAAACATAGAGTGTTAACCAGCCACACACACAGAGCGGCTAAAATGAAAACAACTGTCAAAACCAAGTGCTGACGATGATGAGCACATGGGTCTTTCCTACAGTGCAGGTGGGAGAGGAGAGGGCACAGCCACATTGGAAAACAGCAGAGCAGTTTCTGATAAACATGCACTTATCATTTGACTGAGCCAACCCTTCCGGTGCATCTACTGAAAAGAAATGAAAAACACGTGTCCCTACAGAGACCTGCACACAAATGTTTATAACTGCTTTTTTCATAAAAGCCAAAAACTCAAAACAACTGGACTGTGCTTCAACTTGTCCTGGATGAGCAAGTGATGGTGCAGCCACACGGGGGACGAGCCGTCAGCAGTAGAGACAGAGGAGCTGCTGGGTGAATCTCACGAGCGTTGTGCTGAGTGAAGGAGGCCAAGCTCCAAAGGCAACACTTGTAAGATTCTGTTTATACGGCATCTGGGAAAGGCAAAATAATGAGAATGGAAAACAGACCAGAGGCCAGGGGCAGATGCTCACTGCCAAGGGGCAAAAGGGAAATTTACAAGGTGATGGAAATATTCTCTCTCTGGATTGTACACTTGAAAAGCCAAATCTCACTCTATGACAAGAGACCTGATGCCCCTGACTTCACAGCAGACGACGGGCTCAGCCAGTGACGGCCACATGGTGGGGGTGAAGGGAATGGATACCAGGCTCTGCCTGTGGAGGTTCCTTGGAGGTGACAAACGTGTTCATTTCAAGTGAAATGCTGTGATGGCATCAAAGGAAATGAAGAAGAAGAGAACACCCACTCATCATCCCTGCTTCCATTTTGGTCCTTTGGATCTAGGAGTAAAATCTGTCCACAGTCTGATTTTCTCCTCCACGTTGAGTGGTGGATGGTGAAGTTGGCAGTTGGAGTGAACCTCTGAGGAGGCAAATGAGGACTGTGAACATTTGTCAGACCCCCTGGGTGCTGGGCCCTCCAGACAGGCTGTTTCATGTCATCCTGAGGGTGAGGGTGGGTTGGCCAGAGTCCATCTAGGAGGGGTAGGTAGTGTCCATGCTCCCCTGTGCATCCTGGAACTGCTTACAGTGCTCGGAGCCCAAGGATGGGCATTGATTTGGGGGCACAGCTTGTCTGTGGGATCCACATGGGAATTTTGAACAGAGGAGAAATATGTTTGGGAAGAAGAAGGAAGATTCCTCAAGCAGGAACCTGCAGGACCCATTTGCATATTCATTCCACACATTTTCATTATGCTTCTGCTACCTTATGGGTAGCAGGCATTATCTATTTTCCAGGAGCAGGTCCATGAGCAAGACGGAAAGAGGCCAGATCTTCAATGAGTTTGTGGTCAGTTCAACAGGGCAGAGAGGGGAGAGTTCTTTCCCTCCCACTCAGAGGGGGCTTTGACTCTCACTAATGGGAGGCTCTAGGATTGGTGAAGATAGTTGTCTTCTCACATTGGAGATTTTAACACACTGGGGGAAGCTGGCATGCTTGGTGACACAATTCCAGGGTTTTGTCAGACTCTATGGTGACCACCAATTATCCTTGTCTACTGGTATTAATGTCCCTCACAATCTCCTCCCCTTGAACATGTGCAGAACCTGTGACTTAATTCTAACCAAAAGGATACAGCAAAGCAGAGGGGATGTCACTTTTTGGATTACATTACATGAGATTGTCCCTTCTGTCTTAATAGCACACTCTTTGTATGGACTATCTCTCTTGCTGCCTTGGATGAAGAGAGGCCCATGTGGCAGGGAACAGAGTGTGTCCTCCAGCCAACAGCCAGTGAGGAACTGAGGCCCCCAGTCTGACGATCTGCCAGGACCTGAATCCTGTCAACAACCACGTGAGCTTGGAAGCAGACCCTCCTCCAGTCGAGCCTCAGATGAGACCACATCCCTGGCTGATGCCTTGACTGCAGCCTTGTGAGAGGTCCTGAAACAGAGGACCCAGCCAAACTGGGTTCCTGACCCAGAAAAACTCTGAAATAACACATGTGAGTTGTTTTAAGTTGTGAAATTTATGTTATTTTGGCATCCGCAGTTGAAAACTTGAAAAGGATTAGAAACGTCTAGAAAACGCTACAAAAATCCACCTGGCTGCCTGCTGATCTTCTCCATTTGGGGCCCATTTCAGTGCCCTTGAAGGTGGCTTTCTGCTCCGGCCATGTGAGTGATCTGGGAAGGAGAGTATTGATATCATTGGTCTGCTTCTCTGCAAACCTCCCTCTACACAACAAGGATTGCATTTCTGTGGCTCTTCATGTTTTCTGAGTGCTTTGAGATACATGATCTCTTAAAGACATATCATTCCTGCATTGTCCTCCCTGACAGTTCAGAAGAGTTAAGTGATCAGCTCAGGTTCACATCATTATGTAGTAACACAGGAGGGACTGGAAGCTGGGGCCAGGAGTCTCTGGTTGGGAGGCTCTGTTCCGCGCCAGGCTCTGTTCTCACACACGTCCACCTGGTTTCTGTCCATTGGTTGGAGTGTGAGTTGGACATTTTGTGATGGCCTCAGCCTCCATCCTGGAGGACTCAGAGAAGCCATTCTATCCTCTCCATAGAGGACCTCTTGGGAGGGAAAGTAGAGTCCTGACTCCAGGGCCATGTGGTCTGATCCTCAGCCAGGGCCGACCTGTGGCTGCCAGCAGGGAAGCCATGTAATCTCATTATACTGGACTGGCCTGGCAGAAAGATCGTTTACTTTGCCATTAACCATGCGTGGCACCAGGCTTTGAGTGGCACTGGAAACTGCATTGCTAATACACAGCCCTCACTGCCAAGAGCACAGGTGTTCAGAAATGTTCCATGAACATATCAAATCAAAGCAATGGAATGAAGCCTAAACAACCCATTCATGGCAAGACCGAGATGGAACACTTCAGCACGATAAATGTTCTCGAGCTGGTCTGAGAGACCTTAGGATGGCCTCATGGTCCTGAAGTTTCACCACCGTCTTCTTCCCCTTACTCTTCTTCCCAGAAACACAGAACTCGTAAAGGGCTGGATGTGAGAAACCCAGGCTCAGAGAGGGAATGTGGCTTGCTCATGGTCATATAGCCAGCACGTGGGGAACCGACACCCATGCCTGGGCTTGCCGACCCTCCTCAGTGCTCCTTATGCCACACGGTGATGTGCCATCAGAGGAGAGTGTTTGCCGTTCCTTTTCCTTCTTCATTACCTTCTTCCTTAATCTCTTCCTCTGCTTTCTTCCGTTTTTAAAAATTAGAATTTAGAAACTGAATCAACTTTGCATAAGAGTAATCGTTAGTATGTATTAAGAACTTGTATGTGTCACGGAATGTATTTTCTTTCTTGAGGCATAATTGACATATAACATTGTATTAGTTTCAGGTGTACTACATAATGATTCTGTATTTGTACATATTGCAAAATGATCACAACAGAAAGTCTCGT